TCTATCTATCTATCTATCTATCTATCTATCTATCTATCTATCTATCTCTATCTATCTATCTATCTATCTATCTATCTATCTATTAAATTTAATTTATATTACCACCTATTTGCCCATGGCGACTCGAGGTGGCTTACATAATGTAAAGCCATATTTAAAACAAAAAATAAAAATAAAAAACAATACAATCTAACAAAAAGAATCAAATAAATTAATAAAATACAATAGAACAAGATTTGGAAAAAAATAAAAAAAAATAAAAAATCACCCCCGTCCCGACGACAGCAGACCACACTAACCATTTGATGGGAGTATTCAATTTAAAAAAATCTAAAAGCTATTCCTCTTGTCTGTTGGACTTATTGGCTTCAGCACTAGACTAAGGCCCATTTTTGGGGACAACAAACTGGAATAAAACAAGCTAATCTATTCATCAATACACCAAAAATACCTGTGAATAGAGAGCTGCCTTACAAAGTGTTTGTAGTGATATTAGCAGTTTTATGCATTCGTAAATTTATGAGGAACTGGAATATGGGAAATACTGAAATTAAGTTACAAATATTTAACTAAGAGTTACAGTTTCTTGGAATTAGCATTATTTACTAGGAGGAAAATAAAAGAAGTAAGGCTATTCATTTGATATTTCACTAAGCTTGTTGACCTTGAATGTGAGTTTGAACAATGCCTTTGTCTTATTTCCTTCAACTATCAATTTGATCTAAACAGTGTTATATAATCAACATGTTCATAAGGCACACTGAAAACCAATTTAGAGAGCTATGTTGGGCAAACCCATAATTTAGTGTAGTATATTGCACAACAAAGCCTACCTGTACACTTAATGTATGCTTCAGTGTATCAGTTACAAAACTGGGTAAATTCAGTAAAGCATGATCAGACTTACATCAATGTGTCCTATGAACATACTCAAGACATTGCTACCAGCTTTTATATTAGGTGATATTGGTTTTATATTAGGTAATATTGGCTTTTCCCCAGGTTTTGACCAAAATGCACCAAAACAAGTGCATTGAGCCTCTTAAGCTGTCCTAAAGTTTTCCACATGAGACAAAATATTTTAACTTACACAAAAGTGTTTTGTTAGTATCTACTGAAATCTTTGATTGCTGACGGTTGAAAAGCCAAGCTATGATCTTCCATTGAAATAAAATAGTCCATCTGAATTTAAGACAATTACATCCTCTCTTGAATGAATGAATGAATTCTTTATTGGCCAAGTGTGATTAGACACACAAGGAATTTGTCTTGGTGCATATGCTCTCGGGGTGCATAAAAAGAAAAGATACATTCATCAAGAATCATAAGGTACCACAATTAATGGTAGTCATAGGGTACAAATAAGCAATCAAATCATACTAGGAAACAGTCAATATAAATGGTAAGGATACAAGCAACAAAGTTACAGTCATACAGTCACAAGTGGCTGGGGATGGGTGATAGGAATGATGATTGATAGTAATAGTAATGCAGACTTAGTAAATAGTTGGACAGTGTTGAGGGAATTATTTGTTTAGCAGAGTGATAGCATTTGGGAAAAAATTGTTCTTGTGTCTAGTTGTTCTGGTGAGCAGTGCTCTGTATGCAATTAAGGCAAACTAGTTTAAACATTTGCAACATTCAGACAACTGCAAAAAAATAACAGGTGCTGTCTAGGAAACATGAATCAATTCAATTTTATATTGGAATCTGGCAAATTGAACATTTGAAGAATCACTAATTTTCACCCGCCAGACTGCTACCTCCACATCTTGGGCCAGAGGAGGAAAAAAAGCTAAAATTATAGAAAAGGTAGTAAAGAGTTAAGATAATTCAGAGGGGGGGAAAAAACCAATTTCAGTTTGTGTGTCTAAATGGCAGCTGGCTAGTTACAGTAGGTGATCTGAAGACCAGAAAGACAAAAAAGGGATATGATAATATGATGACAGGTAAAAGGGAATTATGAGGAATCAAATAATTGCTCAGTCATCACAGAAACCATATAGATACAAATATATTCATTCCTGTACTGTGATAACACATTTTAGTGCAGATGTGGCTTCTATAATACATCTGCTCTAATAAACAGAGGTATTCCTTTCCAGCTGACATTGTAAGAATGGAGAGTTTTAAAATGTTACTGCTCTGGTCTTATTTATTAAAAAAGAAAAAAAAATTCACTTCTTTAATTCCAAGGTCTAAAAGGGAAAAAAAAAAAGGTCCATTCTGGAATAGAATTTGTGAAAAAGAAACCTCCTCTGTTCTTCAACTGATGCAAATCCTACAACAGTTGCTGCATAACCATGCTAGATTTAGTTCAGTTGCAAAATGCTTCTGTTTAGCAGAGGGTTTTTTTCATTACTGTACAACATAGGAAACAATTTGGTTGAAATGTATGCAAATACACAGCATATGCTTTAGCGGGATAATCAGTATAGTGAAAGATAAACACACCTGCTAATGTTTGATCCACCAAATTGGTTGCCATGAACGTCACAGCTGGTGATGAGATAGCCGCTACCCTGGTGACTTGAGCTGGCATCAGAGGACTCATGCGAGTCTCGAGTCTTGAAGCAATACCTGCATACAAAAGAGAACAGAAACGTTTGAGATTTTCACTACGTAAAAGTGCAAAGATCCTGGGACTGAATTTGTTATCATAAATGTGAAATTTTATCAGAAACTAAATGTTAACTATTTAGTAATGGTAGTGAGCAAATAAAACTAAGTGCAGAACAGGAAAATCAAAATACTATATATGGTACAACCTGCAATAAAATAATATAATACTCAATGCAAGGCATTTGCTAATGCAGGATGATTAACAGTGCACAACCAAAATATAAATCTCTAGTGAATCATGAGAAAGAAGGTTTTTCCAGTTTCATAAAGATCTTACATAAAGAAGCATTTTTAACTTGACTTCTTCAAATAAAATGAAATACAAGGGAGAATGGATTCCAGGAAGTTAAGTGGAAAAAGCCCTATACCGTAAAGGGTCATTTTAACATGAGGAAAAACTTATCACACAATCAAGCTGAACACACAGGAAAAATGAATTGGAATCGGGTTGTTCAAATAGGCCGGTTGGTCTTTTATGCATGGCCTGAAAAGTCAGCATTAGAAATTTAAATGCATACAACTTCTAAAGATTCAGCCAAAATTAAGGTAGAAAAGAATAGAATAGAATAGAAAAGAGAAGAGAAGAGAAGAGAAGAGAAGAGAAGAGAAGAGAAGAGAAGAGAAGAGAAGAGAAGAGAAGAGAAGAGAAGAAAAGAAAAGAAAAGAAAAGAAAAGAAATAGGAGTATATCTAGACAGAACTAGGAGCAAACTCTTCTGGATATGAACTAGTGCAAGGACATCATAGTTGGAAAAGCCTACCAATCAACTATTAGCATAATCCAGGTATGACATCTTTAAGTGTGAACTAATGTTCTATCTGTTTTTGAAATAAACAAGATATGAAAAATTAATGGCAATTTTAATGGTTTTATCAATGAAAGGCTATTAGCAAAGTATGACCTGACAGACATAAGTTGGTCTAGTCAATATTTTTTTGGGGGGAAGAGATCATTTAGATGTACACACATGGTCTATTTTATTGAAAGATAGGTGGGTTTACTGCATGTCAAGTTGCACACAGACTAATGTGTAGTGAGGACAGAACAATAACCAATCAAGTTGACATTTCTATACCTTTACACAATGTACTTAATTTAATTCAGAGCTAATCGTTTCATTGATCTGAAGAAGAAAACAAGTTGGATCTTTAAAAATTTGTTAATTTCCATTCCATTGCTAGAATTGTGGAGCTGGACCAGCCTCATTTAATAAGTATTTTCATTAATATCTGTTATGTTTTGAGATTGACATCTGTATTTTTACTTGTTCACTGCCACTCCAATTAAAAAAAATAGACTAAGAAGACCCATCTGAAAAAGATCCACAAATATGTTTCTCGTCATCCTGAATATTGTACAGGGGTTTAATCTAAATATATTAGAAAAACATAGTTTGATTATATATGAATACTTAGCACATCCTTAGCAATTCTTCCTTGAATCTGTAGGCAAATGTTGCTTCCCTTGTACAGACAAGCACATATGGCAGAGACTATGTCATAGGGTGGATTCAACAAGTCCTTTTCAACATTTGGTTACACTTTGCTGCAGTTCCATTCAGAATGCAGATGAAGCAAGCTGGCTTTTGAAATGGAACCTCCTGAACTCTCTGCTCAATCCTTCTTCTTTATCTTAGGTAAACATAAGGATGAGCCAGACTTCCTGTTTCTGATTTGCTTTTCAAGCCTTTGCATATCCACAGAAAGACTCTGACCTAGCTCATGTACTTTCTGCTTTTCTAATCAACACTCTCTGCATGCACATTTTTCATTTAGCACTTGAAAAAGCTAAGGTGACAAAAGCCAGCAAATACACTTAGGCTACTTTTGTTAGCTGCGTTTCCCCCTGCTCTCCTTCCCTCCCTCAACCATCATAATGTAGAACTATCATCAGCCTGCATATGATTTCCACTGTAATGTGCTGTTTTTCCTCTCCTCTCTCCTTCTCCTTCTTAAAAAAAGAGGGAGCACGGAATACAGGCTTTCACTGTAAAGATAAAATTGTGCATTCATTTCTCTAGTAGTATCTTTGGTACACATGTATTTACATTTCGTACTATAAGTTGCAAAAAATTGAAAATTCTAAATTTTCTGGTATTCAGGAGTTGCAGTATCCCTACATATTCTTATGTAATATAGTTTTCATCATTTCCTAAACTCAAATTAGACTACATCAAATCCTAATCATAATCCTTAGCAATAGGTGGCTTTTGTACCAGCAAGTAATATACCTCTCCTTGATTTCAGTTCCAGTGCTGGGTCATTAAGATCAATGTGTTTCTGAACATTCTCCTGTTGTCTACAGGACAAGAGAGGAGAGGAAAGGAGATGATGGGGAGAAGACAGGGAGAGGATAGGGAGAGGGAAGGGAGAGGGAAGGGAAAGGAGGGAAGAGAGGAGGGGAGAGGAGGTTGGTTGGTTTTCATGGGTCTTTTGCTCTTTTGTGATAATGTGAACCACTGTTATCTTTAGAAGATCAATTCCAATTGGTTTTGAAGCCAGCAATTGGAGTAAAACTTCTCATTTTATTAGGCTAATATGTTAGGCAATTGTCCAGTTTTGATGCTATACATTGTGCAAGTTGTGTTCTTAGAAAGGGGGGTGGAATTACTTCTATTTAAGTAGATCTCTGTGCTCCTGCCATGGGAATAAGAATCAGGAGGGAAAAACACTTCATTTTAATTTCTGAATATCAAGATACAGAAGCAGAAAGTGAAATAGGAGGTCTCACAGGGTGCCCTTTCTGAATTCAGCATCTGAGTGATCCAAAAGAAGAGGAAAGAGTGAAAATGCTTTCCTCAAGCTGATGAGAAATGATTCCATCCCAAAGTCTGGATACTTCATCATTATTTGTTTTTGCATAGTTAAGTCCAGCATTTATTGTTATTTGTCACAATTCAATCCATTTTTTCCTTACATGGCAAGATAGCAACAAAATCAGGTGATCAATCAATATAATGTTGGGATTCAGATGTTCAAAAAAAAAAAAAAGAATAGAGTGAGAGCAAGGGCTTAATTCCACTTAAAAGACTCGGATAGTACTGACCAAATTTTACTTCCACCCTAAACCAAAAATGAAGTTGTTCTTTCTGAAGCAGTCTGCTTAATTGATATAATTTACATCATTTCCATCTATTTGTCATATGTCAATAATGTCAAATCAATCAAATCAAAACAGCAATTACATAATTATGCAGATGGAATGTATTCTATAAAATATATGAATTCAGACAAAATGGAGATTTAATTTTGATGGACATTTCTCCTCCTACTGGTCCATTAAAGGTTTACCATAGAGATGGCCCTCCATTAATCATGGTTCTATCATCTCTCTTGGTTTCCTCTATTAGCTGTTTATAAATATGGAGCAGACTTTTTCATATACTAAGAGCTTTTACATATCTATGGAGTTTTTTTGCTGTTGTTTTTGAGGGATTTTTCCACAGTTCTGTTTGGAGAATAACATTTTGTAATGTTTTCTAGGTATGGAGAATGGGCTTTGATGCATGCAGAAAATACATTTTTTCCATCATTTTCTTTAATAAATTGTTGTCCACAGTTCACAAATAATGAGGCTGAATAAGAAGGAAGTATACCATTTTAATGCTATTTCACACTTTAAAAATGTTTTTATCTTTTACAACTGTCAAAATGGAAAAATATAAAGCTCACAAAAGCTATAAAGATGAAGAAAGGAAAACAAAGAGGTTGTTGATAAAAGCTAGCAAGCTATAAAACAATCTATAATCAGTCTGTGATTGGGGTGATGGAGACTTACATGAAAAGAAGCTGATGCCTAAGAGAAGATGTATATTTATAGGCAATTTAACAGGATAAATCTATGACTCTGTTATAGCATTGTGCTGTGTGTTCATCTAGATTAAATCTGTATTTTTCTGAGAGAGTTATGTGTAGTAACAAACTAGAAGACAAGCATCAAGAATAACAAAAAGATCATGAACCACCATTTTTACTATTATTGTCCTTAGCATTTTCACCAGAATAAATCATATTGTCCACTCTCGCCATGTTACACTTTTACCATGTTACAAGGATACTTGAGTTTAATGCATACGTATATGCAAAATAAAGATTACTAGGCAATCAGAAAACAACAACAACACAAGTTTCTCGGTGTCTGTGATCCTCTGAACAGAAAGGCAGAAATCTACACTTAAGCCAAAGAGCTATCAGTGGACGGGAGTTTAAAAATCCTACCAGTCCAATAATAGTTAACATGTGTGGATTTTGCTTTTTAAAATAATTTTTCTAGAGACTCAAAATAAATTTCTATAGAGTGCACAAAAGGAAGCAGGTGACAGGAGGTGACAGATAATAATGTGGGTAAAACATGATTAGTAAAGATGTCATAGCAAAATTATGTTATCGGGATGAATGAATGGATGGATGGATGGATGGATGGATGGAGTTCTGTGCCCTTAGCAAGCATTAAAATAAAAGCAACTATTTTTTTTTTACTAACAACTGCAATTATGCAAAACTTCACTACATTCTTAGTAGCAGAGAAATCAGTAAAGAGAAGTATCATATCTGCCTGTGCAATGAATAAGAAGTGCAGGCATGGGCTTTGCATGCCAAGCACAGCAGAGGAAATGGGAAAGAAAAAACATGACCTACTGATTCAATTGCAGAGATGCAAAGAGAGGTGCTGAAACATTCTGCATAAGAGATGTTATTATATCTCCTCTTAGTCAGAATCAAAGGTAAAGCATTGATCATTGCCACTGTGACTGCTCTCTCTGTTGTTGCACAAGTGATTCTCCAGAGATAATTGGGCAGCGTAAAAAGAATATGAAAGAGATTCTTGCCTCTGTAATTCTACAGGTCCAAGTTAAGGGTTCTTGTTTGTTCTGAGTGATATTAGGGATGGGGCAGGAAAGCTGGAAGAGGACACACCATTGGCAAAGCAAGCTGAGCCAATAATTCATTCCTAGATGT